ATAGAAGATGGAAAAGAGTTCGTTGATCCTAATGGAATAAAGAGATGTTTCTTCAAGTATTATGCTAAACTATTCCAAACAACTAGAGTTGATCTTGAGAAGATTAAAACATATTTAAAGGAGATTCCACTACCAAAAATAAGTAAGGAATACAAAGATTTATTAAATGGTCCAATTCAAAAAGAAGAAGTGATGAAGGCAATAGAAGAGACAAAGTTGGGGAAGGCGCCTGGGCCGGACGGATTTACAGCGAAATTCTACAAAAAGATGAAAGAAGAAATTTCCCCGGTCCTGGAAGCTTTAACCAACGAAATAAGAGAAAACAAAAAGGTGCCGGACTCATGGAAAGAAGCAATTATTTCTTTGATTCCAAAGGAAGGACAAGATTCAACAAATGTAAAGAACTACAGGCCAATATCTCTTTTGAACAACGATTATAAAATCTTTGCAAAAATTATTGCAGAAAGGGTGAAAAACTATTTACAAACGGTAATTTCTGAAGATCAAGCGGGCTTTTTACCCAAAAGGCAGATTAGAGACAATGTAAGAATAGTAATGGACGCAATTGAATATTATGAAAAGCACCCAGAAAAAGAAGTAGCTTTTCTGTTTGTTGATGCAGAAAAAGCTTTTGACAATCTTAATTGGAATTTTATGCACCAGATGATGGAAAAGATTGAAGCGGGACAACATTTTAGAAATTGTATTGAAGCTATCTATTCTGAACAAAGAGCTAAAATAAATGTGAATAAAGAACTGACAGATAACTTCAAAGTACAGAAAGGAACAAGGCAAGGTTGTCCGTTATCACCGTTATTATTTATCTGGGTATTGGAAATACTTTTACAAAAAATACAGTACGATCAAGAAATAAAGGGCTTGACACATAAAGGACACCAATACAAATATCGAGCATTTGCAGACGATGTAATGTTTATGGTGGAAAACCCAACAGAAAAATTGACATTGCTTTTTCAAAAAATAAAGGAGTTTGGAGAATTGGCCGGCTTTTACGTAAATAAGAATAAAACAAAACTTATATGTAAAAACATGATCAAACAAAAACAAGTGGAACTACAAGAACTGGTACAATGTGAAGTAGTTAAAAAAACAAAATACCTTGGAATTGAATTAACGGCAAAAAATATAGACCTATATAAGAATAATTATGAGAAATTATGGACTAAGCTGACTCAAGATTTTAAGAAATGGGATAAAATGAACTTATCACTGATGGGAAGAATATCAGTTATAAAAATGAATGTCCTACCACGTTTGATGTTCCTGTTCCAAACAATACCAATTCTGCATAAAACGGATTTGTTGGCCAAGTGGCAACAAGAGTTGTCAAAATTTGTTTGGGCAGGCAAGAAACCAAGGATCAAAATGAAAATACTTTGTGATGCCAAAGAAAGAGGAGGTCTACAAATGCCAAATCTTAGACTATATTATGAAGCGGTTTGTCTAACATGGATGGATCAATGGGTGAAGCTTGAAAATGACAGATTGTTGGGGTTGGAAGGGCATGATTGTAGATTTGGCTGGCATGCATATTTATGGTATGACAAGATAAAAATGGACAGTTTTTTTAAACTTCACTTGGTGAGAAAAGCTTTGTATATGGTATGGACAAGATATAAGAAGTACCAGAGTGACTTAAGACCATTGTGGATTGTACCAGTAGAAGTGTTGATATCTTACTCAAGACAGCGAGGTAGAGACTGGTTGCCATATAGAGATTTAATTAAAAAAGAGGGAACAGAGTGGGTAATGAAAAAGCAGAATGAAATTGAATATGAATATGAGTGGTTGAAATATATGCAGATTTATGATCTTTTTAGATCTGACAAAAAAAACTATGGTTTTAGAGAGGAAAAAAATGAAATTGAAAAGGTTTGGGAGAGTGGAGGAGGAAAAAATATTTCTAAAATGTATAAGGTGTTGTTAAAATGGTATACTGAAGATGAAACTGTTAAAGAACAAATGTTAAAATGGGCTATTAATATGAATAAGGAAGTGGCTATGGAAACCTGGGAATATTTGTGGAAAAATTCTATTAAGATCTCGACATGTACTAATGTTAAAGAAAACTGTTATAAGATGATGTATAGGTGGTACATGACACCTAAGAAAATTGCAAATATGAATCAAAATATGTCAAACAAATGTTGGAAATGTAAGAGGCATGAGGGCTCATTTTATCATATGTGGTGGACTTGTGAGAAAGCTGTAGACTTTTGGACAAAAGTCCACAATGAAATGCAAAAAATATTGAAATGTTCTTTTAAAAAAGCACCGGAAATTCTGCTTTTGGGACTTAAAATGGAAGAAGTCAATACGACTAAAAAGACTTTACTCTGGTACCTGATAGTGACAGCGAGAATGATTTATGCTCAGTTTTGGAAGACAGAAAAGGTACCAGAGGTTGAAGAATGGATACAAAAAGTTCTGTTCATGGCACAAATGGATAAGATTACAAAAAAACTGAATAACAAAGAAGACGATGAGTTTTTTGGAGAATGGAATGACTTTAAAATTTATCTGGAAAAGAACTGGGATGTGAAACAAAACTTAATATGTTTAGATCAATATTAAGTCAAATGATGTTATCTTTAGATTGTAATGATGAGAAACTGATATTGTTGATGATATGAAGTAATTTGGAGCAGGGGTGGAAGCATTGTGGGAAGCCATTGGAGGGAGGGGAGGAACTGGGAATGGGGTAGACAATTGATAGAATGAAAAGTTTTATATGTTGTATTCCTGAGAAAATAAAAAATTTGTTTACCAAAAAAAAAAAGGAATAGTGAGGGCAAACTAGGAAATCTGGGGGAAATTGAAATCTCTGCAATACTTACTTTCTTATTAAGCCTAAGCTTATTTTACTGCTTTAATATAAAATTCATCATTTATAACTCATTTAGCATATGAAATGGTACTATTTGGCATATTTATTACACTTAATATAAATGCCTTCATTTTCTACAAGCAGAATAGCAAACACTGTAATAGAGAGAAATTCAAAGTTCTGCACCCTGTGCTTCACCTTAGCACATGTGTCTCAGTTTCTGCTACCCCAGAGAGAGGAAAAAATAAAAGTTGAAATAAGAAAACACATTTCATCGTAAAAAGCAGTTTCATACAGTCATAGTAGGGCTAACAGCATACCTGGATATTGAACTAAATTTGATAAAATTGAACACCTTGTCTTAAGAACATTTCACTCATTCCGAAAGAGAAAGTATGTTGTCGTTCTGTCAAAAAAAAAGCCACCCCAATCTGGGGGGGACAAAGACCTCCCCCCAAATTTTCTGTTTTTGTTTTCCACATCTCTGTCTCTGCCTCCTTTATCATCACAACTACCCTGTGAAGCAGGTTATATGGAGACAGTGACTGGACCAAGATTGTCTACTAAGTTTTATGGTTAAGTAGAGATGAATCCAGGTCTCCTAGATCTAACGACACTCAACCCAGTTTAGTACTCTGGCTTGACTGAGTAGTATCATATGTTGGGTTCCATACGTTGTGAATGGTCAGATGTTAAGCTCAGACTTCCAGTATTGTTATCCTAGTCAAAATGGAGAATTACTCTCCCTTACCCATTCCCAATTCCAAGCTTAGGAGGGGGCAATAAAGCAATTTAATATGACAATATGACAATTAGGACAGCCTGAGAACAGCAAGCTGGCCCAGTCTGGCTCAGTCACACGGTCAGTGGAGAATTTTTGCTTTCCCCAGCCCTGCTGTATTTTGACAAGGGGACTTCTGGACAGAAATGGGGGTTGGGGAGAATAGCCATGTTCTAGATGAAATGAACACCAAGCCAGGAACCAGCAAGATGTTTCTGTTTGTCATATTTGCTTTTCCTGTGCTCAGATACTTATAATCTTTGGCTGTTCTACTACATTTATTCATATATATTTATTCATATATCCATTTTTATGGATATATATTCATATATACATTGTTTGCTTATATTATTTGAGATAAAAAATTCTTTTTTTCTGAAATTGGAGTCTTCTGTTTCTGTAAACCACATCAAACCCAGTTCAATTCATGCTTACTAGGAGTGTTGGGTGAGGAGGGAGCTGTTTAAGCCCTACCCTCCTCGAGAATTCAGGTAAGAGAGATTGGTCCCCTCTGAAGAATAAGTGTGGTGTAGTGGTTAAGAACGGTGGACTCTAGAGAACCAGGTTTGATTCCTCATTCTTCCACATGAAGCCTGCTGGGTGACCTCGGGCCAATCACAGTTCTCTCAGAACTCACAGCCCCATCTACCTTACAGGGTGCCTGTTGTGGGGAAAGGAAGGGAAGGCGATTGTAAGCCGCTTGGAGACTCCTTAGGATAGAGAAAAGCAGGGTATCAAAACCAACTCTTCTTCTTCTGTAGCAATCTGAAGAAAGAAGGTGAGGCAAAAGTGGTGTTAAGGTCTTAAAAGAGACAGAAGGTGAGAGGAGCATGGAGTCTTGTCTTCAGGCATGCAGGCTGGACTAAGCCTCTGAGAACCAATCTACTGGTGGCAGAAAAGCAGGAGTGGAAGAAGAGGAGCCTTGTTGGGGTCTAGTGGGGGATGGATGGGCTGAATAACTCCCTCACTCCCCCGTAGTGCAGAATCAGGCACTGGAGAGGCCTGTCTTATTGCACCATCCACATTTCCCTCATATCATCCTAAGAAAGGCTGGGCAGCGCCTCACCCATAGTCACTTATGGGAGTGTGTGAGGAGTACCCAGAAGGCTCTCAGGCTCCTGTCCAAAAGGTTGGTTACTTGGACCCTTCTGAAGCCACCATCTGGCCCTGGGTTCTGATTGCTTGGAGAGTACCCCTGAGCATGTGCAGAGAGAGTGCCAACCCCTCCTTGTTGTCGGTATGACCGAGCCCCTCATGTCTGGGGCTGGAGGTTGGGGCCTGCAGGCATGCTTGTCCTCAGTGTGCACCTTGGATCCGCAAGGGGCTTCTTGCTCCCACTCCCTTCTCAAGGCTCTTCCATTCTCTCCACAGGCTGCCCTGGTGGGGGGCACAACCATGGTGATTGGACATGTGCTTCCAGACAAAGACACTTCCCTGCTGGATGCTTACGAAAAGTGCCGCAGCCTGGCCGACCCCAAGGTGTGCTGCGACTATGCCCTGCACATGGGCATCACCTGGTGGGCACCCAAGGTAAGAGGGATGAGGCAGGTAAAGGAGAGTGGCTTCTGTGGCACCTGGCACTCCTCAGCAATTTTGCCTTCCACAGCCTTTCATCTACTTCCACATGCCCCTGACTGTTCAGCATTGCTCAGAACCTGCAAGTCTCCTCCTCCTGACTGCTCACTTCAGTCAGACCTCAGTCTAGTTCTGTCCTCTATAGCACATTGAGACCAGGGCTGTGTATTAAGGGCACCTGTGATCACACAGCACCTCAGTGGAGGGGCTATGGATCATTTGCTTTGCATGCAGAAAGTCCCAGGATCAACCCCCAGCATCTCCCGTTAAAAGGATCACTTGGAGACCTTGGAGAGGACCAATCTGAACAGACAATACGGAGGTTGATAGACCAATGGTATGACCCAGTATACGGCAGCATCATGTGTTGATGTGCTAACCGTTCACTTGGGGACAAACCAGATAAGAAGCTATGTACCCAGTGTTTTTTAAATTCAGTTTCATAGCACTCAGGAGCCCAGCTTGGATGAGGACCATAGTGCAAAGTTACAGTGGATTAAGCATTTTTCTCCACACTGTTTTCCAAATCTGAAATGGCTCTGGGGAGTCTTTACTTGCACCTTGAAGGAAATTTACAAGTACTGATACAGGGGCATGCATGTTTGATGCGTTAGGGTAAATAGTGGCTCCCTGAGGCCATTTGAGTGAAGAAGCGGGGTTCTAGTGCCCCTGCCAAAGTAAGGGGAGGGACTGTGGCTCAGTGGTAGAGCATCTGCTTGGCATGCAGAAGGTTCCAGGTACAATTCCTGGCACCTCCAGCTAAAAGGACCAGGTGGCAGATGAGGCAACAAACCACTGGCTGACAGCCCGGAGAGCTGCTGCCAATCTGATTCAGTATCAGACAGCTTTGATTCTGTTAAAAGGAAAAACACTCGGAAGGAGACATTAGAAGCCGAGAAATGGCAGGAAGGAAAGGGTTAAGCTTCCCACCACAAACCACTTTTATTGTCGTGTTTTTAAAAAGCCACGCGTGTTGAGCCTCTGAACACAAACTTCTTTTTATCTTGTATGCAGAGCTGAGTTGCTTGAGGCATTTGATATTTATTAAATACTACCCAAAGTGCAGCCTGCCATGGGGCAGGTGATAGTCTGAAATAATAAAGCAGTATCTCTGGCAGATCTCCCACACTAACCCTGGAGTCATTAGGCCTAGAAACTTTTTTTTTAATGAAGGGTTATGTTGTCAGGATTTTTGCACCAAATATCACTGTGTACCAAGTTCTGCATCAGAATTCCGAAGCAGGGATTTCCCCTGAATGTGATAGCCAGCCCAGGGCCCTTTTTCTGAGAGCCAGATTGGTGTAGTGGTTAAGTGTGTGGACTCTGATCTGGGAGAACCGGGTTTGATTCCCCACTCCTCCACTTGCACCTGCTGATGTGACCTTGGGTCAGTCACAAGCTCTGGCACAGCTGTCCTTGAAAAAGAGCAGTTTGTGTCAGAGTTCTCTCAGCCCCACCCACCTCACAGGGTGTCTGTTGTGGGGAGGGGAAGGGAAAGGACTTTGTAAGCCGCTCTGAGACTCCAAGTGAAGGGCGGGGTATAAATCCAATCTCCTCTCCTCCTCCTCCTCCTCCTCCTATATTATGGTTAAATTTAGAATACTGTGTGTGCATTAGACAGCTAGGATGCTAAGCTCTCAGGATCTAGCCAGTAAAGTTACTGTGGAGAGGCTGAGCTTGTGGGAAACACCTATTTATTTATATGGCCTTTTGAGTTGGGGGGGACCTCTTATTGTGCCTTTGGAGTTAGAAAGGTGTGGCATACAGGCCCTGACCTGGATAGCCCAGGCAAGCCCGATCTCATCAGATCTCAGAAGCTAAGCAGGGCCGACCCTGGTAAGAATTTGGATGGGAGACCTCCAAAGAATACCAGGGCTGGGAGGGAGAGGCAAGCCATCAAGCCACATCTCTGAATGTCCTTCATACCCCAGTAGGAGTTGCCAGAGGTCGCCATGACTTCCAGGCATGGGCATGCACACATACATACACACAAATGCAAAAAAAAAAAAAAAGGGTGGCATACACATGTTGTTGCTGTCTTTCTGCGTGTGCAGAGAAAAGGGAGCTGTTTGAGACTGGAGGTCTGCATTAATGCCATGGACAAGAGGATAATTTAGGTCTGCCCTCCTTGTGCCACAGGTGAAATCGGAGATGGAGACACTGGTGCGGGAAAAGGGTGTCAACTCCTTCCAGATGTTCATGACCTACAAGGATTTGTACATGCTGCGGGACAGCGAGCTTTACCAGGTCTTCCGTGCCTGCAAGGACATTGGGGCCATTGCCCGTGTCCATGCGGAGAATGGAGAGCTGGTTGCTGAGGTGAGCTGCTCGAGGCAGGGAGGGGTGTGGAAAGGCAAAGCAGGGGGTAGAGAGGCACTTGCAAATCCAGAGCCTAGCAGTACTACTGCTCCTGTCTGCAGGAGGAAAGAGGTCAGCTTTTGGGTCCTTGCTCCCTGGAGGGCAGAGGGGTTTGCTGGTATTATAAAGCTGGTCCTCCCTCCTTGCTTGGATCTCCAGTTCACAAGATGTTTGGAGAGGAGATGGCATTTCCTTCTGGCTTGCACACACGTTTTCTACTTGTATAGGTGTTAGGCCCTGCAGATTCTCATCTGATCTGTGCCAGCTGGCCCCTCCAGCTCACTGATCCATTTCACCTCAGTGACATCTACACTGGGGCTGCCGGGATCCTTTCTTCCCACGTGGGATGGCAAGATGGGGAGGGAGGGGGCAGAGGGCATTCCTTGCTCAGTTGGCCCTGATTGGGCTTGGAACCGTTCCCCTTCTTCAGGCACTGCCCTTTCCTTAAGGCTCTCAAGGGCTTTCGCCCCTCTTATGGCCTGCATGCCCTTCATCGTCTCCTGAGCACAGACATGGATGCTGTGCAGTTGGGGATATTGCTGTGGGCAGGGTTTTCCTAATAGGAATAAGCATGTCACAGCTCTGGAGCGAGTAGCAGCATATGTGCAAAGTCGCATCCTCCTAGTCTGCTTCCATTCATCTGGGAAAGCTAGCCCTTGTTCTGTATACATGATAATGGCTGTGGATTGGAATCTCCGCATCACCATCAATTGTGCATTGACCATGTGTGCAGTGGGGGGGGGGGGGGGGGAGCACATGCATTTCCTTTGAATCTTTCTTCCATCCTTCCAGATTGTGAAGTTGTGTTGGTGGGCATTTTTAAAGGTATAAATGTTACATGTCAGCTGACTTTCAGCATAAACCTAAAGTGACAGAAGAGGGAGGGGAAAACATCAGGAGTGCCTTCCTTGCCTGCCACGGACTAATACACTGTTCTGGTTTCCACTGCAGGGTGCCAGGGAGGTGCTGGACCTGGGCATCACTGGTCCAGAGGGGATCGAGATTAGCCGACCAGAGGAGGTAAGGGTGGCTCATATTGCAAGAAAATCCCCCTCCTCAATCTTCCTCTGCTCCTGCTAGGAGTTACCCCTCCTCAGTTGGTATTCAGGTATGTTTGGCCTGTCCCAGCTCAACTCCAGCAGCCAGCAGTAAAAGGGGTAATGTGAAGACCTGCATAATCTCTGGGGAACCTGGCACCTTCAGGAAGATAAAAGAAAGAACTGTCAGGTAGCTTAGTTGACGATTTTCAGGGGACACAAGATAAGTACCCCAAGCACATAGGGAGGTCTGTCGCAGGGATTGCTATACTCAAATTTGAAATGAGGTGCAAGTTTCTAACCCTCATGGTTGCTGCAGTAACATCTGTTGGCATTGCCTGGTGAAATCTCAGGCACCAGCACAAAGCAGAGAAAGCGTTCCAGTGGCCATCAAGGGGTACCTCGCTCTGTGTTTGGCAGGACAGAATAGATTATGCAAAACAAATCAAGCTTGTGCTAATTTTTAAAGGTGTTTGGTGTACAGAACTTGGACAAGAGCTTGGGGTACCCGTTTCCTCCTCTTTAGCACAGAGAATCCAGTATTGCCGTCATCTGAAGTTCCCTGATTACAGTGCTGACTATCTGTCCAGGCTATCTGCCCTCTCTGTCCCCAGACGTGGGGAGGGTCAGGCACTGCTGGTGTGCATGGCAGGGGCAAATAAGGATTGCTTGCCACACATGGAACAGTAATACCTAGTGTCCAGCAAAACCATCTGCAGAGCAGCTCCTGGTGGCATGGCTTGGCATTTGTCTCATCTCTCTGTCCTGTATGCATTTTTGCAGCTGGAAGCTGAAGCCACACATCGCGTCATCACCATTGCTAACCGGGTAAGCAACCAACCCCCTGCTCCTTGTCCCGGCAGACTGAAGCCCTCAGTTCAGCCTTAGTCCCTGCAGGTGTGCCCCTGTGCCCACCCATCCCCCTTCTTTTCACAGGGGAGAATGTATCTGGTGGGGTTCCCTCTTACTGCCTCAGGCGAATGCCTTGCCCTCTGTCTACCCCGGGGCACTTCAGCCCCCAGGCCCCCTCAGGTTCCTTTCAGCCCCAAAACAATATGGGAGAGGCCCTAGCAGATTCACCCTGCACCAATGGGGGCCGGCTGCCCCACAGCCCTGCCTGATGCCTTTGCGTATCTCCTCCCTTGGCAGACTCACTGCCCCGTCTACCTGGTCAACGTTTCCAGCATGTCGGCTGGGGATGTCATAGCCACAGCCAAGATGCAAGGTAAGAACTGCTGTTCCCTGGCTTCAGAGGGGTGGTGGTAAACTTTTCTGGAGTCAATGTAAAATGTCTGATTTTGTACTCACTTCCCAGTCCAGCAGTGCACCACCATGGCCCTATTAAAGGCTTTGTTTGTGAGGCTGCGTCCTTCCAAATAGTCCATAATTCTGACACACTGGAAGGAAGGAGGCAGGAATGGCTGGTTCCTCTTAGATCTGCCCCCCCCCCCATCTGTGCCCTCTCCTGAAGGGCCTGGTTCTGGGAGACTAGCTATGTGGTTTCTTCCATTTGATAAGGTGACTGCAGCAGTAGATATCTGCAATAATAGGTAGGGCTCTTGCTGACACTTAAAGAACCACACTAACACCTGGGTTAAAGGCACACATCTGCCATGGATCTCGTATTTGGCTTTGGACAAATCCTGTTGTCAGTACAGCCCAACAAAGGGACTAAGGGATTGGTACCTGTTAAAGCCCCAAGGAATCCTTATGCTAAGCAGGATACTCCACCAAAGCCTGAGGCTCCTCCCCCCTCTTCCTTGCAGGAAAGGTTGTGTATGCAGAGACCACCACGGCACACGCCACGCTGACGGGCTTGCACTACTATCACCAGGACTGGTCACACGCAGCGGCCTATGTGACCGTGCCGCCCTTGCGGCTGGACACCAACACCTCCACCTACCTCATGAGCTTGCTTGCCAAGTAAGGGAGCTTTGGGGGCTCGGCCTTGATAGTGCCCTGAACTGTGTATAGAGTCCTAAGCACCGAGCACAGCCCCAGTCTGAGGAGGACAGAAAATGCCCTTATGGGAGGGAAGGCTTGTGGAGCCCCAGGACAGTGACCACAGCAGCAGAGCGGGGAGGGAGTGATCTGGCACCATGGGCTGGGAATGGGGAAAGCTGCCTTACACTGAATCAGAACACTGATCCATCAAGGTCTGTATTGTCTACTCAGACTGGCAGCGGCTCTCCAGGGTTTCAGATGGAGTCTTTCACATTACCTACTACCTGAACCTTAACTGAAGATGTCAGCGATTGGACCTGGGGCGAAATGGTTTCTATTACATCTGGAATTGCTGACTTTCTTTTTATCCCTTGTAGCTTGGATCCTGGGAATAAGTTCTGAGCATGCTAGATAGCCTCAGCCATTCCTTTTGCACTAAACCTTCCATTTGCACAAAGGCCCATTGAAAACCATTGATCTTGCAGAAACAGAGGTTTTAGTGGAAGAGGAAATGCGCTCTGCAGCAGAGTCAGTCTAGCATGCATGGAATTCATTCACTGGGTGTGAGGGTGATCTGGCTGCGATATCTGTCACCCCATTGATCACCAGGGTTGATTCGGAATTCATTCATAGGATCAAAGCCTGTATCTTTTAGTAAAAAGCCCAGTAGCACCTTTAAGACTAACAAACTTTATTGTAACATAAACTTTTGAGAAACACAGCTCTCTCCATCAGATGCATCTGATGAAGAGAGCTGTGTTTCTTGAAAGCTTATGCTACAATGAAGTCTGTTAGCCTTAAAGGCGCTACTGAGCTTCTTACTGTTTTGCAGCAACAGACTAACACGGCTAACTCCTCCGGATCTGGATCTTTTAGCTGGCTTCTGGTGGTGGTGTTTTTTTAACTATATGCAGTATAATTTTATAATTGTTCTACATTGTTTTAGACTTGCTGTAAACTGCATTGGGGATCCAGATTAGGACAGAAGAGTGAGTTGGGAATGATCTAAATAAATCACTCAGTAAATAAACATGAGTGGGTAACCTTGCGCGGAGAGGCAGAGGAACCTCCTCTTCTTCAGATGTGGGACAGTGTCGAGAGAGGCCATTAGAATGGGACTCTCCTCTCCCTTCCCCTTACCACCTCTCCTCTACTTCTCCCCTAGTGACACCTTGAACATAGTGGCTTCTGATCACCGGCCGTTCACCACCAAGCAGAAGGCCATGGGCAAGGAGGACTTCACCAAGATCCCGCATGGAGTCAGTGGGGTTCAGGACCGCATGGCTGTCATCTGGGAACGTGGCGTGGTAGGTGATAGGTATGGGTGGGGTCTTTTCAGAAGGCAGGGATCCCCCTCCTTTGCAGTGGGTGCATGGAGGCAGTTCTAAGCAGAGGAGATCTGACGAATGTGAACGCACTGGGTACCCTAAAATCACTGTTACCCCTTTAAGTTGTGGGGTGAACCAACCATGCTTTATCTAGCCTCCCCAGGAGCTATAGCCTGCCCCATATTTAAGCTACTGACAGGGACATCTAGCACTACAATATTGGCCAGCACATACACATCCAGGCATGGTCTCCTAATGAAGCAAAGCGGGAAGTGGAATTGCCACTTGCGGGACCAATGGAAATTGTGGGGGGTGAAGGGGTGTCCAGAGATGCAAACAGCTGGTTGGAGAGTGGTCCTGTTCTGGACTGCAGGCTACTTATGAGGGGCAGTCCCTCCCACAACTGGAGTGTCCATGACCCTGGCAACCAACTACAGTGAGGTGCAAGGTGGTAGTCGCCACAAATCAGTAGTGACACTTGACTGCCCCTGCTTAACCATAGTCCATGTGCAACATTCTCAGAGCTCACTTCACAGTGCAGAATTGCCTGGTGCTTCTGTGCTGTTCCTCCCTAGCTCACCACCAGACTAGCCATGCCCACTCCCACCAGCCCTGTGTTCTTCAGCCACCGCTGGAATGCTTGGGGATTGGTGCTTCCAAATCCATCCCTTCTCCCATGCCCTTCTTAGCTGTGACTCCTCCTTTCCTTTGGCTGCTTTTTAAACAGTCTCCAAGAATCTCATACAAGGGGCTGCATCTCAGTGGAGCAAAGGAAGTGAGACCCACATAGTATTACCAAGGCTACAAGCAAGGGGGAAATCCCGCCACAGGCGCCTGCCCAGAGTTTTGAAACTCCTTTCAAACAGTAACAAAGGTTCCCTCCAGTGGGGGAGGAAGGATTGTAGCCAGGTAATGGGCTATGTTATGCGTGCCTCACTCAACTTCCATAATCAAGTGAAGACTGGCATTCCCCTGTCCACCCCACTGTTGCAGGGAGACTGTTCAGCCAGCCTCTCTTCATGTGCCCACTGCAGGTGGGGGGCAAGATGGACGAGAACCGTTTTGTTGCCATCACCAGCTCTAATGCTGCCAAGATCCACAACCTGTACCCTCGGAAGGGCCGCATCATCCCTGGAGCGGACGCTGACGTGGTTGTGTGGGACCCTGAAGCCACAAAGTAGGCACCTGGGACATGGGGTGATAACCCAGACAAGGGACCAAGCTCATGTTGCTATTATGTGTATCATGTTGCTAGTATGTGCCACCACAGCATTGGTGAAGCTGAGGATGGGAGACTCACTTGGGAGTCTACCAGATAAGTTCCGCGGTGCTTTCCCAAGGAAAGAAAGGGTTTTAATAATAGAACAAATCCTACGTATCCATCACTGCCACCACACAGAGGATGCAAAGAGCATCACATTTACAAGAACATTGTGTACAGTCACCAGAGTCCTCTGTGGTTCTCCAGAAGGTCATGCAATGAAGGAGGTGCTTAAAATTCACTAGACTTCCAAGTTCTCTCTTGAGTCAGTTCACTGGATTTACAAAAGTGGGTCATGTTTGATTCATGGGATTGCATGAAAATAGTAAGTTCTCGGTAGTATTACCAGTTCTGCATCTAAGAACATAAAAAGAGCCCTGCTGGATCAGACCAGTAGTACGTCTAGTCCAGCATCCTGTTTCACAAGTGGGGCCAACCTGTTACTATGGAGGGCCCCTGACAGGGCATACAGGCCAAGATCGTTGTCTGATGCTGCCTCCTAGCACTACCTCTGTATATGGAGGTGCCCTTTAGTTACTATGGTTAGTAGTCAGTGATGGACATCTACCATGAATCTGTCTAATCCCTTTTTAATGCTCTAATGCTCACAGCCATCATTACATCCACTAGCAGTGAATTCACAAATTAATCACTTGTTGAGTAAAGAAGAACCTGTATCTTCCAGTCTCCTGATTGGGGGAAAGACAGCTCCATCTTCCTTATTAGCCAAATAATAGCTTCAAACTTCTCTTCCTGCTAGTTTTTCCAAGACACTCTAGGTGGTGCAAACACAGCACAAACCTTGTTTGAATAAGAGGGGATTTTTTCTTTATTGGGGATTTGTTGCCTCACAAGTCTTTTGCACTGAAAAATATGAAAGAGCTTTATACAGAGCGAAGCCACTGATCCATCTGGTCTCAGTGCTTTCTACTCTGATTGGCAGCAGCTCTCTAGGATCTCCCCCACAGTAGGAAGTCTTTATCAGCTTTTCTGACTGAGATCCATCTAGCTAGAGATGCCAGGGATGGAAACGGAGACTGTCTGCATGTAAGTCATGTGCTCTGCCACTGAGCCCATGGTCTCGCTGTGATCGAGTAGGCTCCCCTTTTAAAGACCTCCACTTATCCCTTGAACTCTCTGGGCTTATGATTCAAAGTAGAAGTTCAGGGAGAAGATGAAGAAGAGAAATGTGCAAAGTTAAGGACCCTCAAGGACTGTTCCAAGGAATCTAGTGGGAGAGGTTCTTATTTTTTGCTTGGATCCTCTCCAGCCTTTGACTTTCTTGTTAATGTTTAACCATTAACAATGAGGGATGATATCACAGTCAGCCTTTGAATTCCTCTGCTGGAAATGTAAGCTCCCTTTGAATCATGGCTCCTACAGCTGGGAAGGACCCGAGAATCAACATCCTGCCCCAAAGGGAACAGACGTAACCGTGTCTGCTCATGGGGGGGGGGGGGTCCAGAGAGATAAACTTCCAGGGGCCTAGGAAGCTAGGCAAGGGCTAATTGGTGGGTGGCTGTACATTCATTAGTCTTTTGCTGACTTCATCTCTTAGTGGTGCCCATCCACCTGATTTTGTTGCCATATGCAAAAATGAGTTTAACCTGTGCACTGTGGGCTGCCTGCCACCCCCAGCTCCAAGCGAAGCCTGCCACCCCCTCCAGCTTTCCCTGTTCTTCCGCAGGACCATCTCAGCCAGCACCCAAGTCCAAGGTGGTGATGTGAACTTGTATGAGAACATGCGCTGCCACGGGGTGCCACTGGTGACCATCAGCCGGGGACGAGTGGTCTACGAGAACGGCGTCTTCATGTGTGCAGAGGGCACCGGAAAGTTCTTCCCACTCCGCTCCTTCCCGGATTCTGTGTACAAGAAACTGGTGCAGCGGGAAAAGGTACGGCGGGGAGGGTGAGGGCCAGGAGGGGAGCTCTCTGCACGGTGAACCAGGGCGTAGCTCAGAGGGAGAGGGAGCCGGAGGCACATAGTGGCTCAGAGTCCTGTGTTGAAATGAAGAACTTGTTGAAGGTGGCAAGTCATCACCTCTTACCCTCAGCTCTGCATTTGCAGTACCGGGGGGGGGAGGGTAAAAGCCCACTTATGGAATTGTTGCCAGGATCCCACTAAGATTGTATATGTGGTGTGGAGAAACGCCATTTTATGCTATGTTTAAGTTGGTGTGGGCCAGATAGGAGGGGACCATCAACCCTGAGGTAGGCCTTGGCCTAGTCTCCTCCTCATTCCCCCCCCCCCAACCAGCAGTCAGAGGGCAGCTCCCTAGAGAGGACAGGAAGTCCATCCAGGCTGTGAGGAGATCTGCCCCAGAATGCTGCAGGAGGGAGAGCCACTTCCTGGGCAGGAAGGGCTGTTTGATATAGTGGAGCTTTTGGGCGGGAAGCAGCCTATGAGAATTGAGGTCGGTCTGTCTGAAGGCTGGAGCCAGTCAAGCTGTCTGAGGCAGAGGCCATGTTGGGAGTGGTGCTAATCTAACCTCCTCCAGTGAAAGCAAGTCATGTGCCTGCCCTGCAGACCATCTAGACGGGGTATGTGTAGTGGAGGGAGAGATGGAGCCATTTATTATTCACCTTTATTTTGATTCTTCAGTTCACTGTTAATATGCCTGTATATAGTTGAGTGGTTTCAAAATAAATCCTTTTATTGTTGACATTGAGTAGTCCCTCTGTACCGCATAGTTCCCCCAGCCGCTTGGACACGCTAGGAGTGGGTTGGGGACTCCCTGAGGAGAACAAGGGCGAAACGGCCAGTTGCCAACTCTCCAGGGGAGCCCCGAAGATTGCCAGGAAGCCCCGAGGTGGGTTCCTGGCGACATCAGAGGGAGGTTAGGAGACTGTCCTGCCTAACCAGAGCCCAAGACAGGGACAGTGGTGGCAGCAATACCCGGAGGCAGTGGTGAAAAACTGCCCCTTCAGGTGCCAGGACAGGCAAAGGAGGGGTGGGCAGAGTGGCCAGCTGACGTGGGCCCGTTCCGCCACATGTGGGATCCTTTGAACATAATGCAAGTGCTGAGGATTATATGATGCCTGCCCCCATGCAACTGTCACGGGAGGGGGAAGCTAAAAGATGTGTATTTGGGGGAAGGGAAGGCTCACACGGTGATTATTAAATTCCACAACAGGAAGGAAAGGGTACTTTGAATTCAAAAGGACAGCAATAGAAGAGAGGACTGCTGCTCGTAGAAGCCAGGATAAAAGGAGATGGCGGGTGGGCAGAACGTTGAGAACCAGGCCTGTTTACCAGGTTCCCCATGCCCCGCATGTTTGTGTTTTCAATACATGAGTGCAGAATTTAGCATCAAGAAGTATTTTGCTTTCCGGGATGGGGGGGGGGGGAAATGTGAGGACTGAGCCACGCCCAGACTTAGTATGGTTAGCGAGGCTTGCTAGGGTGGGGGGAGGAAACCAGGGGAGCATTATTTTCCTCCCTCCTCCCCCTCCCCAGTATCATCCCAGAAAAGAGTAAGAGGTTTGGCCAGGAGGGAAGGAGGGCCCTCCCAGGAAGCAGCCCAGTGCCTGAAGTTTGTGTGAAGGAGACAAAGAAGCATTAGAGCCTGCAGCTTTGTAAGTGGACACAGGCCTCAGCATCCTGGAAGGATCCATTTCCATGTAAATGGCAAAACTGCCTAGGGAGGCCTGAAAGTGTTTGGGCAGCACCTGATGAAATCTCGGAGTTCCTTGGATCTGTAGAAAGCCTGTTCCCGGCACAGTTTAGAACGCCGGGCAGTGCAGTCCTGTGCAGAGCTGCTCCTGCAAAGAAATCCCTGGGAGTGACACTGCGCAAAATTACGCTGCAGAAAACACAGCGGGGGCTGTGTGGTCAGGAGCAGGCTTTGGAATGAAGCTCGCCGCCCCCAAAGTGTCCCTGAGTGCGTCCTTTTAATTGTTCATGCAGACACTACCTGGGATTCCTACCGGGAACGCAAAAGCACTGCACTTTGGGGAAGGGGGAGCAGCGGAGATGAAAGAAAATCAAGAGGGGCACTGGTGGGCCGGCAGGGGGAAGCCAGCTGGACAGCAGACAGAAAGCGGGAGCCAGGAGATGCAGCCAGGGGGAGCCAGCAGGAGAGGGATGTAGACGTGGGAGGGAGATAAAGACAGCCAAAGGAATATTTCCGATAGGCTGGAGTGGGGGGGGGGGGATATAGCAGCCCTGGAGTAGAGACAGAGGCAGAGAAAGGAGCAGGCACACATACCCATTCACGGCAGCCACACTTCCTACCTGTGAAATTCTACCGGCCATACGTTAATAAGGTTGAGGGGCTTGAGGGGAGGAAGTTCTCAGCCGGTTGTGTAGGGCTGGATGGGGGAACAGGTGGGTATCGATGCCCAGGTATGGGTTACAGCTTTCTAGTATCGTAGATGGTGCCCAGAGAGAGATGAGATGGCAGGAGTTATTTCAGCAGACCTGCTCCATTCAGGACTGGGGAGGGGGGAGTGGCTGCCCTCTTCTGTACTCTCAGACGTCATGGTCTTATGCCCCCCCCCCCCCGTTTCCGATGGCAACATATACTTCAGATGCAGAGCTACAGGCTGCTGGGGGGCTGGTGAGTCCTGTGGTTCTGGACTTCTGCCCCAAAGTCCAGCCCTGACTGAATGTCATCCTTTGCAGAGAGCAAGTTTCAGGATTCCAGTCCCAGAGTTATGAAAGGACAAGCAAGCCCAGCTGAAGGACCTTCCCCCTCCCCACCCCTCCCTGACTAATCTTGCTGCTAAGGAAACGACTGTGCCCCATGAGTGAGGATGGGCCCAACTACACACACTCCCCTTAGCCCCACTGAAACGCCCAAGGAGTGCCAGAGAGGCTATTGCTGGAAGCGGGTAGCTTCCCCCGTTCTGGGGCTGCCTCTCCCCAGGGGACGTGGGTTCTCACAGGTAGTCCTTTTCAGGGGTGGGGCTCTGACGGTTGTCTTTTTATTTTGTGTATTCTTTTAAAATTAGAGTTTAAAGCTTAAGAGCGTGGACCGCACCCCGTACCAGGGGGACGTGGCTGTGGTTGTGCACGCTGGGAAAAAAGAGACGGGGACGCCACTTGCAGACACCCCCACCCGGCCTGCCACAAGACACGGGGGCATGAGGGACCTCCACGAGTCCAGCTTCAGCCTGTCCGGTAAGAGCGGGGCTGGAGCGGGTCTTCTGTGGGGAGGACCCCAGGGAGTGGGATGCCCTGGCCCCCAGTGATGCTCAGGCACCTGGATTACAAACCTGTGCTCTGTCCATCACCACCACCACCACCACCTAGCCCCATTCCTCTGCCTCAAACACTCTCGGTGCCCCTCTCCCCCTTGCCCTGGAGGGGCAGCATTTCATAGCCTTGCTACCTGGGCAGCTGGGAGGGACTGACTGATATTTACGCACCCTCATTATTGGAGCACGTTTCTCTGCAAGCGCTGCAAAGAGGGTCCCAATTCCTCTGCCCCTCCTCTGCTCCAGCAGCTCTTCTCCTTACTCCACCCTGCTTGCTAAGGGCCAGCAGCCAGCTAGACCCACTCCCTGCACTGCCTGCTCCCCTGGGGTTGCCCCTGTTTCAGTGGCTGTGAGTGTGTTGACAAGGGAGGGGGGGTTGTGGTTCCCTGCATTTGTTGTGGAGGAGGAAGGCGCCAGTCTGTTGGCAGAAAGCAGAGTGCAAAGCGAGATGGAAACAGAGGACAGGAGGCAAAATTGTTGGCCACTGGTGGACTTTTGGAGGCTATAGCAAAATGCATCCCTGGAGGTACAACTTGGTGCTGGAGAAATAACCCCAAATGGCCTTTTGGGTATATAATGCAAATCAGAGGGGTGTTTGCCTTTATAAAGCGGGTATCCCCAGAAAAGCCCTAACTGTATTTTAGCCGTAGACTGGGGGAGAGCATATTCTACATGTAGGTCAGTGGGTTTAGATGTGTGCTTGGGAATTGCATATTTCAAACCTTTTCCATAGGTTCGGGTGGGGGGGGGCTGTTCTGTAGAGCTATAGGCAGTTGCATATAAAAGGAGTCATGTTTTTTTTTTTTATAGGACATGGACCTCTTTAGTGAGGAAATAGTAGGCTGGGAGGCTCCTGTGCAAGAATAGGGGGTGTTGTCTTGTGCTGTGTCTCTGTGGAGGCGTGATGTGTCTGTTGTGTGGGGCTGAGGGGCATCTGTTCTATGGACTCCTGCAGGAAAGATGCTTGCTTGACCCTCTTCATTCATTCACTCTCACCGATTCACTCATCCAAACTCATCATAACTTGGTCTTCATCGAAGACTCAATTTCAGCCAAAACATTAAAAGTGTAGACTATTACATTCAAATTCACGGCACTCCAAGTGAATGGCCCCCAAATTTGAATGGTGTAACCCTGACCTCGGGGCAACATTCCTCCCAGATGTTCTAAGAGCTTCTCTGTTGCTGGATCGGCCCAAAGTGGTTCCATAGAGTTTCCCATCCTGTTTCCAATGGTGGCCAGCCGGATGCATCTGCGTGCCTACAAAGCAGCACGTGATAGTAACACCCTTCCCCTGTCCTTTGTCCCCAGCACCTGATAACCCGGAGATATTCTGCCTTTGAACGTGGAGAAGCTGTTAATAGCCCCTCTTCTCCTCCTCCATGAATTTCTCATTGCTCAGTGTGTGTGTGGGGGTTTGCACTTGTGAGCCCTGCATGATTTTGCATCCTCCCTACATCCTTGTTCATCTCCACCCCCTCCAGCACGCCCTCCCTCCTGCCTCTTACTCTTCTCTTCCTGGGGTGCTGAAGACAGGCCTTTTGAGCCCTGGGTACTGCCTCCCTACTTGGGAAGGTGGGTAGTTGAGCAGGATATGGCCTTGCAACAGCAGCCTTCCTCTTCCCAGCACCCTGTGTGGTCCCTAACAGGGGGGGGCAGGATGGAGCAGGATGCAAAAAAGAAAAAGAAAGAAGAGAAGATCCTAACTGACATGCTTCTGATGCGGCACTCCCCTCCCTTCTCTTGCCACAGGTTCTCAAATCGATGACCATGTTCCAAAGCGAGCTTCGGCCCGGATTCTCGCTCCCCCCGGAGGCAGGTCTAGCGGCATTTGGTAACTGCCCCCCAGACTTGTCCCCCAACTAAGGACGCCATCACCACCCCCCACTTGCCCGGCTGCCTTCCACACCCTGCGAGCCTGAGGCGGCCACACCTTTCACCGGAGCCAGCGACACCGGCGAGCCCTCCACCATCCCGTGCCCAATGCCATGCGGACGCAGACGGAAACGAGGCTGAGAGGGTGGGGCCCGCGCCCTGCCCTCCTTACTGCAGTGGCTGCACTGAAATGTAGGGTGATGCACCCACGAAGAGCCTGCCTCTGTTGCTGTGTGAGTGGAGGGTGGGAGCTCCCTCCAGCGCCGTGGTGGTGAGGGGGGGGGGATCTGGCCTGGGCAGGGGGCAGGGCTGAGGGGGCCTGTCTGTGCCGGTTCCTTTCTGTTTTGCACGTTGGGTTTTTTGGATCAGTGACATTTTTGACTTGTTTGTGCATCACGTGGGGGAAAAAATACTGAAATAACGGTACTTTTGTGTGACTAGCAGTAGGATAGACACAGGGAGGGGGGCACGGGATGGGGACCGGGTGGGAGGACAGAGCCGCCCCCTCGCTTCAAACAGTCGTCTTTCTGTGCAAGGTGGTTCAGGCCAGCGTGACCGGAGGGTAGAGGAGCTTCTTTCCTCTCCCCCTTGGGGAACAGCGTCTTGGACTGAGTTGGCGGGGGTGGGGGGGAGAGGTTCCATGCCCCCTTGTTTTCGTACTCCCAGCAGATGTCTCTCTAGACAGCACTACAGCCAAGTGACGGCAAAGCCCCTTCTGCAGGCCCGTCAGGCAGTGGGCAGAGCTAGATGGCAGGAGGAGAGCTTAGGCTCCTGTTGGAGGATGCAGCCTAGTGGTTAAAGCAGGAGAGGGCTGGCAGGCAGGGACTCTGTCCTCCCTCCAGTTCCCCTGTCTGTCTGCACAGCTATATGCAGCATGATCTTCCACCTCCTCACTTTCCATCCTTTTCTGAGCCCCGGGCTCCCAAGGACAGACCCTGTCCCCCTCCGATGGATCTGTCCTGTTCCTAGAATCCTAGCCAGGGTCCTTGTAGGGTCTCTCCCTCTTTGACACCAAGGGAGTGGGGGAATACCTCCAGGATCTCAGCCGCACCCCGCTGAACTAGGGTTACCCTGAGAGAGCAGAGACTCACTACACGATGGTGCTAACCCCCCTCCCCACCCTGTGCTCTGGCTGACTGTTGGGGGGCCAAAGGAGCCCTCCCCCAACCCCACCCCTTTCCCCACCCTCTGCCCACCAGGTCTTCCTCCGGAGTAGCGTGAAATGTGAACTGTTACTTGTGCACTTTCCCGCCCCCCCTCCACTAGTTGATAACCCCATAGGTGTGTGAGGCCGGGCAGCCGGGCGTGACGGAGTCCCCAGCTCCCAGGACCGCAGTGGAGGAACTCGGCTTCTGAGCGCAGCCCTGCCCTGTTACATGTTGGAATAGTCTTGTAATGGCTGTTTTAGCGACCTGCAGTGCGTTTCTGTTTTCCTCATTAAAGATTGTTCTCACGGTCTGGGGCTCCCGTGTCTTCACTTTCTGACCCAGCCTGTGGGCATGCCATTGCCTTCAGAGGAGTGGGGTGGGCACCAGGAGGGGTGCAGCAGATCCCTGGCCTAGTGGGGTTTGTTGTGGTTTTTTTTTGGGGGGGGGGGACAGAGAGACCAATGACCTATTGAAATCTCCAGCAGCAGTCTTCCAGATGCAACAAACTTTCCTGGTCTCCAGCAGCTGGCATTCAGAACTACACTGCTGCTCAACAGAGCAGCTCCATCCCTAGCAATCACAGCTTATGTTGTTGTTGTTCAGTCGCACAGTCAAGTCCGACTCTTCGTGACCCCATGGACCACATCACGCCAGGCCCTCCGGTCTTCCACTGTCCTCCAGAGTTTGCTTAATTTCACGCTGGTTGCATCGATGACACTCTCTAACCATCTCATCCTTTGCCATCCCCTTCTTTTACCTTCAATCTTTCCGAGCATCAGGGTCTTCTCCAGTGAGTGCTCCCTTCTCATTTGGCGGCCAAAGTATTTGAGCTTCAGCTTCAGTATCTGGCCTTCAAGGGAACAGTCAGGGTTGATTTCTTTTAGGATTGACTGATTTGATTTGCTTGCAGTCCAAGGGACTCTCAAGAGTCTTCTCCAGCACTCTGTGAATCAATCTAACCCTTTGAAAAGCCATCGCTGCCAGTGACTGTTGTGGTACTGTGTGGCTGTTGTCTCGAAAGTCATTGTTGTTTGAAGCAGCTCTTCTTGAGTTTACCTGGAGCCCATGAATTTATTTTCAGACAAAGGACCCCCTTCCCATTTCTCCATTCTGGCAAATTCCAGAACTGGTGTTTGTGCTGCAGCGGAAACATCAATAGAGATGTTAGACATCTTGAAGGCTAAAGCATGAGTTACACATGCAAAAGAATGTGGTAGTAAAATGATGAGATGTGAGAATGAACTGCACCACATCAGGCTTACAGGTGGAAAACAACAGTTTGGGATGTTTTCCTACGTTAAAAACTCACTGTAAACAGAAAACCAGTACAGGAAGCAAGGGGAGGCGGGGGTCCAAAGTTTTTTTTCTGCTGTGCTAGGTGCAGGAGGCTTTTCCCCCTTAATGCAAAGGGTGTCTGCAGTAGTGCAGTCCATTCTACCACCTCAAGATTCTGCCACCCCATTCTCCTGCATGTGTAACCCAGGCCTAAAGAAATACATTTGTGACCCAAGGCTTTGTCAGCCAGAAAGATCATTTTCTCACAAGTGACTGCTGTCAGGGATGGCTCTTACCTTGGAAGCTACAGCGCAGTGGCAGAGCATCTGCTTTGCTTGCCAAAGACCCCAGGTTTAATCGCTGGCATCTCCCGTTCAAAGGGTCAGGTAGGAGGTGATGGGAAAGACCTCTGCTTGAGACCCTGGAGAGCTGCCACCAGTCAGAGTAGCCAATGCTGGCCTTGATAGCCAGTGGTCTGATTCATATGAGGTAGCTTATATGAATGCTCATACATTTGGGCTCCACATAGAGACATCACAGACACACTAGACCCCGTGTGCTGTGCAGATCTGAACTGGCAACACCAGCACTATCCTCCAGCACCAAGAAAGCGCTATCCACAGTGCCATCCTAAACAGGTCTGCTCAGCATGCTACCCAAGTTGTTCAGTGGGGCTTACTCCCCAGGAAGGCATCCTTATGATCGCACTGTTACATTGCAAACCTAAACAAAGTTGTACCCTTCTAAGCTCATTGATTTCAAAGGACATAGATGGCTGTAAGTCTGCTTAAGATGGCACTGTAAGCCCTCCTGCATTAAGAACATAAGAGAAGCCATGTTGGATCAGGCCAATGGCCCATCCAGTACAACACCCTGTGCCATACAGTGGGCAAAAGCCAGGTGACATCAGGAGGTCCACCAGTGCAGCCAGAAGCCCTCCCACTGTTGCCATTCAAGCAGTGTTCCCTCTAAGCTGAGTTAGTGTGAGCTAGCTCACAGTTTTTTAGCCTCCAGCTCACAGATTTTTGTCTTAGCTCAGGAAGTATGGCTCCGGAGCAAACTAATTCAGGCAGTAGCCAAATTGCTCGCTCACAACTTTAATGCCAGTAGTTCACAAAGCAGAATGTTTGCTCATAAAACTCCACAGTTTAGAGGGAGCATTGCACCCAAGCACCAAGAATACAGAGCATCACTACCTCAGACAGTGTTCCATCTGTACCTTGTGGCTAATAGCCACTGATGGACCTCTGCTCCATATGTTTATCTAATCCCCTCTTGAATCCCCCCTTCCTGTGGCAGGGAGTTCCACATGTTAATTACTCTTTGGGTGAAGAAGTACTTCCTTTTATCTGTTCTAAACCTACTGCTCATCAATTTAATTGAGTGCCCACAAATCCTTGTATTGTGAGAAAGGGAGAAAGGGACTTCTTTCTCTGCCTTCTCTGCCCCATGCATAATTTTGGAAATTTCTGTCATGTCATCCCTCAGTCGTCATTTCTCCAAGCTAAAGAGCCCTAACCTCTTTAATCTTTTTTCATAGGGAAAGTGTTCCACCCCCTTAATCATTTTAGTTGCCCTTTTCTGCACTTTTTCCAATGCTATGATATCTTTTTTTGAGGCGTGGTGACCAGAACTGTATACAGTATTCCAAATGAGGCTGCACCATCGGTTTATACAGGGGCATTAGGATGCTGGCTGATTTGTTTTCAGTTCCCTTACTAATAATCCCATTGGGGGCAGGGTCCCTGTGCTGGTGGAAGATTCTGCCACTAGTGGAATGGATCTGTGGGATCCAGCCCATGACCTCTCAACCCTGTTGTGCACAATCTTGTTGATTTGATAGCTGAGAATCAATACTCCATGCTTCTGGCAAAACAGGCTCTAATCCATGAAGGTTTATGCCATGATCAATGCTCCCTCTAAGCTGTGGAGTCTTGTGAGCCAGAGGCTAAAATGTGTGAGCTAAAATGTGTGAGCCAGAGGCTAAAAAACTGTGAGCTAGCTCACACTAACTCAGCTGAGAGGGAACACTGGCCATGATATATTTGTTAGGTGCGAGACACTTTCTAGCTGTCCTATAGTTGCTTTCTCCATAGCACCATTCTTCGTTCATAACAGCTATTGTGTTCCCCCTTCTGTCACGTTTATTTCCCCCTAAACTAAAAATCCCCATCTGTTTAACTCATTCTTCATACAGCAATACATCTCCCTGATCATTGTAGCTCACCGTCTCCAACAGTGTCTGTGGGGCAGTATTGGATGAACCTTCTTGCCAATCACACACAGCTGGTGACAGCCACAGGTAAAGACTCTCTGCCCACATGGGAGATGTGCTTCCACCAAGCTCTGGGGCAGCAAATTGTATCAGTTAGCAACATTCTGCATGTGGCAGTGCTTGTAATGCTACCAGTTACCTATTGGACAGTACTCCCACTGGTCAAAGTGGAAAATTAACAACATGTACCAGGAATTGGCTTTTGGTAGAGGAGCAGTCCTCCCTCTCCACTGCCAGTATTTAGGAGAGAGAAATAAATGGACTTGATGCAACAACTGTATTCCCTTATCTTGACCACCTTATTTAGGTTTCTACAGACCAGGGTTTGGGCA